ATATCAAGCCATTAATCATATGCGGCGCGCACCGAACCGCGATACCGCGTTCGTCGGCGTCCTTCATCTCGCGCGCACTCCGACGAATCCCCTTAATTACTGTTCACTCACTTTTTTTTACTCAATTATTTGCATTGTTCGTTATCGTGATCGAAATTACGGCGATTTAAATGTGTTTTCGAGATACGCATTCGTACACGTGATGATACCAGCGCGAACCGTACAGTAAAAAAACAATTTGTACTTGTGTTCAAATCGGTCCCTGTTAACATTTTTCTGTTGAATGTTCAACATACCTTTGTGTTGATTTAACGTATTGTGTTTATGTTATCTCAACATTTCATATTGTGTCGACATTCAACGTGTAAGTGTTGAAAGAATATACTTGATTCTTCAGTGTCGATTAACATTTGATTATTTCATATTTCACGTTTATTTCGCGCAAAAGTGTTTCGGCAGCGTTTCCTCGCACGCTGCGTGCATTCGTTTCGATTCAGCGGGCGCGTGTAAAATGCGCACGTAAAACGCGCTCGCGCAAGCGGAAGTGGATTTCACTTTGACAAACGATATAGAACGCGCCGTACGCAACCGTAGCGCATCCCGCGCGCCGCGTCGCCCCGCCTCACCTTGCCTCACCTCGCACCGCGTCGCTTCGTCGTTTTCATGTTCGCCTGATGAAAAAATCAAGTTCGTTTTGTACGATTCTTTTTTTCTCCTCTCTCGCATCTCGAAGCGCCGTTTAATTGCCGACACGAGGAACACGGAGAGAGCGCGCGCGCGGTTAATAATACCTCACACACTCTGCGCGGGTCTCTCGCTCTCGCACGTTCAAAGGGTTACCCGACCCCAGACGGACACGTGTCGGCGAGTAGAACAGGAATTCATGAGGGCGGACAAGGCTCGGATCGGGCGGCCCTAAGAAAGCGTTCGTGCTTCAGACGCGAGAAAGGGGCGATGAAGGGTACGAGTCGGCTACGATAGACGAGCTCGTTTCCCAGTGGAATTTTATTATTATTATTTGAACTCGAGGGACGTCTCCGATAGAAATACACGCGGTTTTCTCAGACATTCGCTCAGTTGCTGTCTAATATTAATGCATCCTTATTAGTTATAACGATATTGCGTAAACAATGTGCAAGAATTTGATAGAGTTTTATTCAGTGGCTGACGCACTGAACTTTTACTGGTAAAAATAAGCGCAGTTCGCGTAGACGCCTGCCCAACTATCGGTGAAATATTGAAGAAAAGAGCCAAGTGGAAGAGTTACCGCGAAAAATTAATAAATACACACTAATTGTCGGGTAGAACGCTGTTACGCTAATTCAATTAGTGACACTTTTACCGATTCAATTTAAGGGATTCGTTCAGAGCGACTAACTTTTCTCGAAATTCACGAGGAGTTAGACGCGCGAGCCGCGCAGTTTTTGATTTGCGCGAAAATTCGAGCATTTTTACGGCACGCTGTTTGCCCTCGTCGCGACGTGCTTAGATACATACAATCTCCCGATCGAAAACACTCGTCCGCTGCGTCCGAATGGAAAAGTCGAAGTTCACGAATGTTATCTGCGAACTCTACTTTTGCACGATAAGTTGTTTTTCAACAAAACCTAAAATCACTCTTATCCGCTGGACTATTCGCTAATCAGCACGGTATGAACGAATGGCGCAATAAAGGGCAGATTGCCGGGGGCGTCCGTCACGCATGAAATATTCATATCATCATAGAAAGAAACGCAAGCGAGACCTACGGAACTTTTCTATCTGCTCGCGGAAAAAAGAAAACGAAGAAGGAAAAGAATATATCTTTCCCCCGATCGACTTACGTTCTCGCGCGCAACGCAATTCCCGCTATCCGATGTACATTGGCCAGAAATATTATTGCGGAGAACGTGAGAGATCAACGTGCAAAGTGCAGCCGTCCCGGAGGCATATTTGACGCACGCACATTTCGTTGAATCAGTATTTTCGACATCAGCGAAAACACGATCGACATATTTACTAACCGCATACTCTCGTGCGTCATAACGTACAATAATAAACATACACCGCATTCACTAAGCCCGGTTAATTGAATTCCAACTCAACCGGATCTAATTTTTCTTTCGAACAATCAACAGCTGCAACAACATCGGAGAAACGTCTCGAAACATTACACGTGTCTGTATATTCGGGCGAAAAAATCATAAATAACCGTTCAGAGTTCGAGGCGAGATTCACGGGTTAAAAATATAAAAGGGGAAAGTAATCCTGCGAGAAATAATCTTGCGAGAATGGTGGGCAAAGCATGTAATACGGCGGGCGGAGAGCGGCTAGACTTTGGCGTACTGAACCGCGCCGCAATTGCGCCTCGCGATCGCGAAGCGCGATTTGCAACTTGCGTGTTATGCAAATAAAGCGCCACGTACACTCGATCGCGCCGAAGCACCGACGCATAATTAGCCGTGTCGGAGTCGGTGCTTCGATTTAGCCGGGGATTGCACCGGAGGGCCTCGCGGCGCTTCGAGTATGCGCGTGTCGGCGCGCCGGCCAGGTGAATCGCTTCATTCCGAAGCTCGAAGGACGCCGCTCGCACGGAGACGCATGTAAATGAATGGGGATTGGATAGGGCAGTGTAACAGGGTAGCAAGGGTTGGCAGGAGTGTTTCAAGGGTCTTGCAGGCCCCTTCAAGGCCAAAGAGGACGGCAGTCTGTCGTTGGTATCATTAAAGACCCACGTTATGGCGTTCCCGCTACCCACGCGCCAGCTACGCGTTTGCGAGTTCGATCCCTCTTTTTCTCCGTCCCCACCACTGTCGTCGCTCCCTTCCAGCACGAAAGGGATCGATGTAATAATAGTATTTAACCGATCAACTTTATACCAAAGTGCGATCGATAAGGTCAGTCTGATTGTAACTCAAGCACTCGCACACATTGATCTCTTCTCCTCCTCGACCGCGCAATTTTCGTTCCTCCTTCATTCAACGATGCAAACGATCTGTGTGATATTATTGAATAAATTAATCGATTAAAAAACGGCTCATTCTGTCAGCCAATTATAACCCAACGAGCCTCTGTCGCGACGGTTGAAGCGTTAATGTTAATTAGACAAATTTGACATTACGAATGTAATAAATTGGTCTCCACGTACGCACAAATATATATCGTCGAAGACCATTTTTGTGTGTGTATATAACATTTATTTTCATATTTGATGTGAAGAACATGAAGGTTATCTTAATCTTCGAGATAGCCGCGAGCGGGAGGGTCGCAGGTGCGGACGCGCGATGCGCGCTCGAGGATCGGGGCGGAATCCCGTACGTCGGAGGGTAGCAACCCCCTGACGCGGCGCGTTCGGCTGTCATTCATACTTTTCGTGGTAATCACGATGCAACACTCGTACGATTCCGGTACCAAGCCCGCAGGAACAACCAGGAGTCCCGCGAGTGCGTTTCGCTCGTCGGGGCTCGCCCGTTCGTTCGGTTGGCGCGCCTCCGCTAGGGTGATTTTGCAACATCCACTGAGCAAACACGAGAGACGTCTCAGGGGTGCGAAGTATTAGGAATACACGAGCGGGCAGGAGGCAATTTAACCGCCACGGGGGTGAACTCGCGAAGGGGGATGCTGGGATACCGTGGGGTTTCCGTTTACGCAACCGGCTCCGGTCGATGACACTCTGTTGTAGGGGCGGCGCGCCAATTCTGTGCCGGCGTCACCGCCGACCCACCCGTATATCGATCGGTTCGATTGCCACACCGGAAAAAAAAGCCCTTTTGTCGCCGGACCCCCGTGCGTGCGAAACCTGTCCCCGCCACCACCACGTGTCTCGCTTCCTCGTGGATCCTCAACGAGCCCCGTCGACAATAACGTCGCCATCGCGGGACTCGCACAGACACGTCTCGTTCGGTCGCCTAAGAACGCGAGAGTGACAGCACGGCTTCATCAAAGAATAATGCGTTCCGCTCCTTTGAGATTTCCCACGCTGCTTAACCCTCCGTTAAGTCGCAATGTGTCCAATAGATGCACGTTCACGAAGTCATTTCCGTTTCTCCGGAAACTTAACGTAGAATTTACAATTCCCCCCCCCCCCCCCCCTCTCCGGACGTCTAAATTCCCTTTATAGAATCAGAGGAATATCATTAGTGCTCCTTTGATGATACAAATGGGAAATTATGTCCATTTTCTTTACTCGAAGGCTTAATGCAGAACTAAAATTTCGGCTCGGGAATGTATACAAATTCGCGCGATGATGAATGATTTCGCGCATACACGTCTTCGGTGCAGTGTCTACCTTCAGCGAACAAAGATCGACCTCCGTGCCGAAGCTACCTGTCGGTTCTTACCGTAGAAACTCTCTCATAACGGCCTCTTTTGCGATCGCAAAGGCGCTTCGGCGATACAGAAAACTCGTCGTCGCGCTACTTCGCGGAGGGGAAAACGAGGACGACTTTAACAGGCGGTTAAGTGGCTTTGATCTGGTTTAATTAGCCGCGAGCCGCCAGACCACCGGCGGATTTATCGTCTCGCATCGCCTGAGAAGCCTGACATGCTTCCACGAAGAGGCGGCTGCCACAAAAAGAGCGGCCCTTTTGAGGCGCTCCGACGTTTCCCCGCGAATTCCAGGGATACCATATTCAACGGTTCGCCACTCGAGCCACCTGCTATTTCGCAGAGTCGAAGGGTTATGTATCTTCGACGAAATCCTCTCAAATGAAAGAGCGAGCCACGACCGGATGACGGAGGGATTTCTCGGATACCGTGTCTGACTGGCGCAGAGCGGATAAATGATCCGCGAAACTTCGCGAGTATCGTGCATGTAATCGCAGACGTTTCAGAAAACCCGAAGAGGATGTGCGTCCTCGGCGGAGGGAGGAGAGAAGGGCTCTCACGAAATTGACATGGTGACCCTGCTTCTTTTTATTATTCTTCTTGTTATTCTTCTTCTTATCTCGAAACCGGAGAAGGAGAGCGCTCTCCCATCGAGCTCCTCCCGGAGTGGGGCATAAACGCGTGCGACGACCAGATGAAGAGTACGGTGCCAGTCAACTCAAATTTAAGTGATTAGTGCTCCCTCGATCAGTAGACTCCGGATCATCGAGGACGCTTGACGGTCGTCTTTGTGACAATCTATCGATTCCTTCCGTCGTAACCGGGCAGGTTAACCGGCTGGAGAAATATTCACGATCTTAGCGATCGGTAATCGCGAAAGGAAGAAAATCGTCCACGAGATTCTGGGAAATAGAAAAATTATCTCGAGTTCGAAATTGCATATATCCAAACTCGAACTTGCGAACAAAAGAGAGAGAGAGAGAGAGTGAGTGAAAGAGAGGGTGGTTTTGAGGTTTCACCTAAAATTAGAGAGTATCTCAAGTGAAATTTGGTTAAACCCAACGAGACTTCTGAAGAGAGTCGGGGATTAATTAATGGGTTGGCGATATACAGCTGTTTATTAATGTGCAGCGCGATATAAAAGTTCGTTTATTCTGGAAACATTCGCTGAATATCGAGGCTGCAGCCGACACGAGGCATTGGCTATCGCTTTACTTTGCGTCAATCGATTTTTCATTATTATCATTGATATCACGCGACTGACACAGTAGCCAGCAGTGATGAATCGCCCGGTCGACCGGACGGACATTTGAGATACAAAGAGCGACTACGAGATCCTCTGGGAGCCGAAACAGTCGGGACTATTTTTCTGCGAACACTCGAAAGAAGGTACGCCCCACCTTCCACCAGCCCTAACAATACTCCAAGAGAGTTCAAAATCCTCGGTCTTTATGACCAGCTAGGTAGTTCTCGTGAAGTTGTGGTGAGGTGAAGAGACGAGGCAGAAGAGAGTTCCGAGATTCCCCGGCTGTCGTCTCCGTAATTATAATATTTGATGATTGAATGCGAAAGAGAAAGAGCGAGACATCGATTTACTACGTTGATAACTGTGATAACGTGATTTTACTTGAGACTTTTCGCACATATAGACGTCCTTGGCTAGATAGTGCGATTAGAGTAACGTACTGTAAAAGGGTGTGAAATACCCGTGGAAATTGTACGAGTCAGCAGAAACAGTGATTTTGGTGATTATCGAGGAATCGAGAACCTGCAAACATGGTTGTCAACGAGATGTTACTATTGGCGCGAATGGCCAACATAATGGTTACCTTGAACGCCACTGCGAATACCACTGCAATCGAGAACATCAGCACGACGACACTGTCGCCGGAAGAGAAAGAGAATAGGTTCGACATGGATGACAGTAAGTATTCGGTATTTAACAAAAATCAACCCTCCACCGTCGAAATGATTTTTAGGGCGCGTCACGACGCTTCTCACGAAGCAACTGTAATGCAAAGCGTGAAACTGACAAAATTATATTTTCGTGCGTCGCGTAAAATCGCCACCGACTTAAATAAAGTTACATCGGGTGCTTCTAATAAGGTTTCAATGCCGTAAATTAAATACTATCGGGAGAAAATCGCTTCGACGTAGAATAAAGGAAATAGGGGTCAATCGGTGTCACGTGCCGGCGATCGCATACTGCGCTAATCGCTGATCCAATACGAAGACGAAACATTAACGTAGCGTTCGAGAAACTGATAGAGTCGCGTACAGAAATATCGTGAACGCGCTGATAACCTCTCACGAGTAATTCGTAATGGTTCGAAGCTCGTCGTCGCTCGAGACGTCAATTGATATAATGAGAAACGGCGAGCTCTGATAAATAGATACGCTTAGATCGAGAACGTAAAAAATGCGCTCGCTCTAATTGCTGCCGAAATTGTGCGCCTCAAATTATCGGTGAATCGTTAAGTCCGAATCTACAATAGGTGTGTGAAAGTCGCAATAACGCGAATCCGGATTAACGCTTCCTTTAAGCAATATGTAAATGAGTTCTATTATTGCGGAACGTCGAACAGAAACGCCTTGAAATCGAATTACAACAGAGACTTCTGTAAACAGTAGACTTTTATTATCCGAGAGCATCAATATCTTTAATATACGTTAGAATTAGAAGATTCTAGAAAGGCTTCCAGGTCAAACATCGACTCAAATGTCGATAACAGATATCCATCCGATACAAACGATGCAATAGCCGGCTATAATGGCTCGACAGATAAGAAAAATAAAAACGCTTAGGATCATCCGTTTGCATGTGTTTACGATTTGATCCTATTTCGCGATTATCCGACTTGACTTTGAGTCCCCTTGATTTTGATTGAATGAAGATCGCACGTCGCGCGCGATCAGCGTGAAGAAACTTACAACTTCGTCCGCGGCTCTCTAATTCAATTACATATTTTCGTCTTTGTGTATAGTCGACGTCATGTATCATTCCACAGGCGGAAAATTACATGATTTTCCACCTTACAGATAACCCACAAGGCAGTAGATTGTAGAGGTAATTCTAATTATAATGTGATACGGATTTTAATAGCTTTAGTTAACGCGGGTTTGATCTCATATCGAGTTTTCACGTCGGATGAACACCCAAATCGCCTCGTATATGACAGCCCGATACGTACGGCCGCATTAACGGAGTCACAGGCGCGTTTAATACGATCGCATATTTTTCTTTCATCAGAATGGAACATGTGGCAGTGCTACGCGCCGTATGGCTGCTTTTACAAAGGATCACCCTGGTCCGGAACAAATCGGCCGGTATCCGCGGTTCCGATACCCCCCGACGTCATCAAACCCCGTTATCTCCTCTACACGCGGGAGAACGAACAGTACCACAAGCTGAAGATCGACAACTTCCAGACGATTAAGAAAGCGCCTTTGAAGAAGGATAAAACCTTGTACTTCATCATTCACGGATTCCTCGAGAACGGCGACAAAACGGCCTGGATCTCGGTAAGGCCATAATGAATTCCCCCCCTTTCTCCTCCCTCCAAAAAACAACCCCGGTAGAAATTTCATGCAGTTTTTGAGTAGTTACTGGACAGTTTGTTGACTTCCGTCTAGTAACTGAGGAGTAAAACTACTTGGGATCCCAATCAAGATATAACGTTTTTCCTTAGTTGTTGCACACAAAAAATGCGCAAAGTCCGGATCTATTTACTGAACGAAAACAGAACGATAATAAATAAAAGAGAAAACTATTCAATTGATTAATAAACGAGCCTATTGCCCATGAAATGGTCAGTTTTGCCCTGAGAGTACCCCTTGAACAAAACTCTATCAAGTTGTCCATTTTCTACGCCGTATTGTTACAACTACTGAGAATAGATTAATAACTAGACAGTAACTGAATGGGAAAGCTGCGTACATTTCTACCAGGGAATGTATCCGAAGGACGTGCCTCTTCGAGGAGTGAAAATCCCACGAGGCTTCGGAAAACGTAGAAAGCGCCGGTGATTTATTAATTACTCGAGCAGCTCGATATATTTGGATCTACGCAATAATAATTCAGCCGCTCTCTTGCCGCGAAAGAAAATATTGATCTCATATTAATTTCTTCCTCGCGCTAAGATAAATTATTATCTCCTTTTCTGCGCGCATACGCGATTTACGTGTGACGCGCAAATACCGTTTTCCCGCGAGTATCTCGCGGGGAGAAAGAATTCTCAGCGCGATAATACAGTAAACACAACATTACTGACGTCGCGTCTCGACAGAGGTTGATCAAAGAGCTGCTGATACGGGAGGACTGTAACATTGTGGTCGTTAACTGGATGAACGGGGCTGAACCACCCTACACGCAGGCGGTGGCGAACACGCGACTCGTCGGCGCGATGACGGCTCGCCTGGCGTCTCAACTGATCAACGTCGGCGGGATCGCGCCCGAGAAGATGCACGTCATCGGACACAGCCTGGGTGGCCACACCGCCGGTTACGTTGGCTACTATTTGAGGACGGATTATAATTACAACCTCGGCCGAATCACAGGTAAAACTATTATCTAATCGCAGCGATGATACGTCGGCGCGAAACTCCTTGTTTAGATTACAACGTCGAAAATCAGCGGTAAGAGCCAAACGGGTGTCGGTATCCATTGTGCAATTCTCAAATGTACGATTCGCGACAATTCTGTATACCAAACAATGTGTTAACAACATTGTACGATTAAAAGGGCCGGAAAAGATCGGTTGAGACGATTACAATTATCAATTAAATGAGCCAACACTTACATATTCGGCTTATATTGCTGATTTGTGTTGTTAATCGTAATAATCTTAATATTGTTGCAAGTTTCGTGAATTTGAAAATACTGGGCTCTTCTTGAAAAAGTATCACATGTTCTTTGATCACGTAACCGTCCTCAGGGATCCCCTCTCGATTTTAATGTTTCTACGTCGCCAGTAATGAAACGATCGAAATAAAATTCGTAAATTACGCGATATCGTCGTGAGTTGTCGTAAAAAAAAATGGCTGGATAGATTATCCTCCAAGATTCTGTATACGCCGGAGAGTCATTGGGCGAGGTCGAAGAAGCAATTGCGACAGGAGGAGGGTGTCAGGAGCCTCTCGATGCGAGGCTGAAGAAACGATTGCGACAGGGAGTGCCGTAAGATGAGGAAAAAGGAAAACGCCGGTCGTGACGTAATGAGAACATGCAAATCGCGGAAGACGCGTGTGCGTAGACGAGCGTGCGTTCTCGGCGCGGCGTCATCACAATCGCGCGTGTCCCCGCCCGTGCGTGCGTACGACATCATCTCGTTTCTTCTTCCCCTCCTTCTCACCCTCGCACCTCCGTCCGTCAAATAATCAATGTCGAGTGAGTCGTCGTTTGTCCCCCTCCGAGCGGTCGCAGACAGCTCGGAGGATTACGAAGATGGCCGATTGAATCGCAAACGATCAGGATAGCAGTCGTCGCAGGAGAGACTCGCGCGGAAAAGTCGAGCGCGTGAATGCGACCGTACGGAATCGTACGGAGAGAGAAAAAAGAAACAAAAAAAAAAGAAAAAGAAACAAAACAAACGTTCGCTCGTTCACGTATCCGTGGCTCTCCGACTCTCCGTCCGGATTCACATTGCGCGAACTCTCATCGAGTTCGCGTCGGATCGGTGAAACTTTTTCGGACGCGGTAAACGAGGGGAACACAAACGGCCGGCAAATAAAAGGACGATAACGTCGCGCCGTTACGACGTTGCCTCGTGCATAACGGCTTGAAAATCGCCGAGGAGCACTTTCGTTGCGCTTACCTGTGATTTATGCCATCGGATGCGAATTTTATATAACTCCCGTTCTCGCTCGATCGCGTGCCGGCCGAGGTTTTTTACGGTCCGTCGTGGCGGAAATTAAAAACACAATCGGTTCGCGACGCGCAACGATCGTTCGCTCCTTTCCGCGACGTTCTCTCTCCGCCCACCGGGTGATCCTTCCTCGGCACGACAAAATCGTTACGTGAATGAACCCCCCATCGGCCTTCCGAGTCTCCCCGCGGGGAGATTACGCGACCGCTCGGCAGCGCGAGAGTTCCGCGCGAAATTTCCGGGCGCAATCGATGCAATCGAACCGATTGGCGGCGGACGGGGCCCGCGTTACGTAAGCTATCGATCCCATCGGGAACTACCAGGATAGCAGAAGAGGGTACGAAGTGTGTGCGTGAACGAGGACGGGGGGGGATATAATCGTCATGGCTACAATACGACCCGCAGAATTCCGCGAGGGCTGGCCACGGAATAGCCGCCCTCTCTCCGCCTCGGTGGCTGCTCGTGGTCGGGACAACCCCTAGCCGGGACCGGGGGTGTTCCGGCTCGACTCGCCAGGGTAATCGACGGGATCTCGTTTGCGCGTCGAGGATGGCAGCGGGAAGCGTGCTCCTAGACACGCCCGAAGACGAGATCGCGGTAAACAACCGGAATAAGAGCGCACGCGGAGCCAAGAAGTGGCAGGAAGACAGCTACCTCGTCCGAATAAGGATGAGGAAGACAAAGAAATGTTGATCCTACTCCGGACGGCAGGATACGTCAAAGTTGTGGGAGAGCGTCGGGGAGCTGTCGAATTGTTCGTCGGATCTCATCGTAGCACATAAACGCATTTTTATAGAAAAAAAGGAAACCTGAATACGCGAAAAGAAATTGGATTAATTTTCTCATGGCGATTGAGCGAAGGATATTTGCTTAAAACCGGCCGAAAACGAATAGCAGTTGTTGCGTCGTGGATCGAAAACTCAACACTCGTCTCGGCGGAGAGCTTCATTCTCTCGGTGAGGACAAAAGCGGCAATTTCACAAAGAATGAGGGAGATAAAGGCGCATTGTGCTGCGACACGGGACTGCCGTAACGATGCCTTTCCTCTTTCGCGAACCAAGCTTTTAATTTATTGTCTCGGCAGACCGAAAAATAACTTCCGCCTTTACGCAATACGCCGGTAACAACCGCAGTCCGTGTGAGTTACGATCGCGGCATTTGGTAATCCTTACGTAGCTGCGTATATCTCTTACAAGTCGAGCATTGAGATTCGTCGAGAGAAGCGGGTGAACCCTTCGAAACAACACGGTCTCACGGTGACGGAATCGCCTTCGACGATGAACGATGGTGTGATCGGCGATGTTCGAAGACCGCCGATTCGAAATTCCTGTCGCGACGCGAATAGTTACGTCCGACGCGCAACTATTACTACTGCGGAACGAGTGCATCTCTCTCGGCATTTCCCGTGTGCAGATACTATTCACACTCTACTAAAGACGTAAGCCACAATAATTCCAAGGTCCTCTCCGCGAGAATATTTTCTCCCATGTCGTAAGAAATGTTTCTCTCGTAAAATTACTTCGGCGCGATGGTCGTTTTGATTACACAGGCAGAGATTCCATAGAGGTATTTACGAACACTTCCTTGTGATTTTTCACAGAAAGAGCCTTTGTTACAAATCAGACCCGCATGGAGAGATGTAGAATGGCAAAACGGTTAGCCCGATTTAAATGCGGAATCCGTTCCCTTCGTCACGAATTTATTCCGCCGACGACGCGTCGAATTCGCTCGTCGCTCGCTCGCTTCGCCGAACCTTTCCAAATTCGTGCGGCGAATAGCGTAACCGGCGATGTTACGACGTTACACTTGCGTTAACATTCGTCACGTTGCATTTTCACCGGCAGGCCTTGATCCGGCGGAACCGCAATTCAGCAACACCTCGCCGCTGGTCCGGCTGGATCCAACGGACGCGACGTTCGTGACAGCCATTCATACCGACGGCGTTTCTTTTATGGAGGGTGGCCTCGGCATCGTACAACCTGTGGCACATATCGATTTCTATCCGAACGGCGGCAACCACCAACCCGGCTGTAATGAGGGTGTGATTAATTCCATCACCAGAGAAGACAGCTTCTTTCGAGGTGAATTTCAAATCGATATTCGAACGTTTCAGGGACTAGGTAACAATTAGATCGTAATAATCGACCGGCATCTATATGATGTCTTCTGCATATCACATAGATAGCTAGATATCGACGATACATTGATATGATATCAACGAGATGTAACGTCGATCCTTTGCATCGATCAATGACACATCTAATAGTTACTCAATCGAATGGTCCGAAAAATCAATCTTCGAATCGATCATCGACTTATAAACCCGAGGATCATCGTCACCGATCATTCATTGATCGGAAAGCGGAGTTTAATTGCGCGAACGCCGCGGTTTTCTTCCTGCAGGAATCAAGAAATTTCTCAGCTGCAACCATGTTCGCAGCTACGAGTACTTTATCGAGAGTATAAACAGCCCGTGCCCGTTCTTAGCCATGCCGTGCAGCTCTTGGGAGAAGTTTCAAGAGGGAGGCTGTTTCGACTGCAAACACCAATACTGCCCCAGGTTAGGGCTGGACGCTCAACCCGGAAATTACGACGCGTCCGTGTACCTGATGACCGGAGAATCCAAACCGTATTGCAGTTAGTATAACAATTCTTTTGTAATCAAAGTCGTCGGATTCGTCGCTTTAGCTCGAGTTGGATCGGAGAATTGAGAATCGTAACGAAGCGATTCGCAATGGTGGAAAACTAACGAATTGCATTCATTTACAATATCTATAACTTCTTCATGTTCTGTCTTTTTTTATGTATAACCTACTCTTATATCGATACCTGTGTACCAAAGGGATTTACTCTGTCCGTCTCAACAGACGAAATAAATAAATAAAACATGTATAATATATAAATATATATAATAATGGTCATGAAATAATCGTGATAATTGTGTTTTCGCGATATTTGCAGAGGCCCACTATAAGATAACGATAAATATCTCGAAGACCAACGAGAGCGTGTCGCACGGCGGCGAAGTCGGGATGTTCGTGGTGCACGTGATCGGCGCGAACGGAAAGAAAACCGAAGGGACACAGCTGAGCTCGGAAGCTGAGTACTACGAGCCAGGTAGTACGCACACCGTGGTGTTTCCCGGAAACTTCGTGGGCAAGCCGCAGTCAGTGGAGATCATCTGGGAATACCAGACTTCGATCCTTAATCCGCTTACGTGGCGGCTGTTCCACACACCGCGAGTCTACATCGACTCGTTGACCATCAAGAATCTGGAGACCGATCACAGGTACTTCTTAATGACCGCAAATACGCGATCATCATCAGCATCGCACGAATTTCTAATTTTAATTGTCCCCGTTTTCTTCACTGTTTTTTCCGCAGTGTCACCTTGTGTCCGGATGAATCGAAGACGCTGTTCAGGAACAAAGCGAAAATCCTGACCGTGGATAACTGCCGCGTTACGAAGTACAACAACATAGTCTCCACGTGAAGGACCTTCGATCCGCGTTCTACGTCGTATCGTCTTCCCCATAGTCAGGACCCGAGATCGATGTAATGTTGACGAGTTAAGATTTCAACGCTACGGACGAATATAATCTCTCCGTCTTCCTGGGTCGAAATTCTAGTCCTGTATTCGATCTGCTTAGCTCTACATTTTCAAATCTTCAAATGAAGAAAACGGAAATAACTTTCCATTTGTAGCGTCAAAGGGAGCGCAGTAGGAAACCTTTGAAGACTTAATGTAGAATTGAATAGACTTAATATCAAACTGAAATTTCATATTAAAGAGCTGAAATTTTGACTCGGGTTCGTTCGCGAAAGTTGACATAAGATAAATCTCTCAGTCCGTATGCGTCACGAAAGATCCGGCTCGTCGAATCGACTACCAATTCCAATATCGGGTCGAAAAGTCGACTGTCCGCTCGTTATCACGAAATAATTATCGTCTTATTCGTTATCACGCGAATGGCATTCCGAAGGCCTAATGTTCATTATTTATTTTTCCATATAGATAAGAGTGAGAGGCTAAAACAATCGATCGTATTTCTCATCAGACCAGGATGTCTCGAAATATTAAATTGCTCGTTTTGAAATAGTCGTATAAATCGTACGGCACTCGAGCTCGAGAAGTCTCCGTGGGGCATTTCTCGCGTGAGACGAGAGTGAATCTCGGGTTGATCGCGGGAAGAGATTTCACGCCGTTTCCGACTTGATCCGAGTTCGTGCACTTCGCGACGGTCGCAGGTGAACAGCCGGTCAGGAATGAACTAACGCGAATTGCGCATAATAACGTCGGTTTTCTTCCAGAGACCAATGGCAAAGTCACGATCCTTTCACTGTCATTATGCGCTCACGGTGTCTCTCTCTGTCCTTCTCTACTATACTCTATCCTGTATGATTCTTTTCCTCACACTGACGTCGCCGTCAAACGCTTTCGTGCGATGTTCTCGTCATCCTCGCGCGGTCGCGTCGATAAATCGTCGCCGATTCCACAGCAGTAACGTTGCTGTGGAATTGAACGTTGAACGCCTGAACGTTGTCGTGTTTATCCCATAGCTATGTAGGACATGTCGAGACGTAAATAACGGCATTTAACGCCATGGTGATCTTCTTGTCTTGATGTCAGAGGTCTCAATCCGGCAGGAACGGCGATAAAAGAGAGACGATAATAAAGGCCGAACGTTTCAGGGAGCACCATTAAAAAACGATTAGCCGTGCTTCTCACAAATGCAAATACGACCACTCGATTATTCCGTTGTGGTAACAACGGAGCCATTGTGGCGCTCTTCTTTAATTTCGTAATTCCGCGCTGTTACGTTGAAGTTGAGCAACGCGGAACGCGAAGTGGGCCGAACAAACGAGCGCGCGCGATCGCCGCGTCCCAAATGAGCCGTGAAGAGCCGCGAGTCATCTTCTAATTCAGGCTTCGATTTGTCAGGTGTACATGTGCACTGGGTTTCAAAGCGATTTTAACACTTTCTTCACGATGCAGCTCGGAAAGCAAAGCGATACTCCGATGAGAGAACTCGTTTTCGAAAAATAAATCCCCCCCCCCGTATGAAGATTTTAAATTCTACATTAAACCTTCAAGTGGAGAGAACGGAAATAAGCTCACACCTGTAGCATCGAAGAAGCGTAACATCATGAAAGAAATGTTCAAACCGTTTTGAAACTCAGCGTGTAACCAAACGTATAGTGGAAAACGGCGAGGCGCACTTTTTAGGCGCACTAAAGTTGGAAACGTAACGAACCATCGCAATTCGATGAAAAATAAATTAGAGATCGAGCAACGATCGTATCTTACATCAAGTACATTAAACTTCACGCGAACTATTTAATTTCTAGCGAGTGTCTATTTATATGCACACAGATACTTCATGGCATAATACGCACGATAAGCCCATCAATTAATCGTTCAATTACAATAAGAGCGTATTTTAATGTATTCTTAAGCGTAACGTAATATATTCTTAAGTTTATTCTTAAGCGTGTTCTTCCGAAGGTGTACATACAAATAAAAGCCGTATCAGACTACTTTCCGCGACGTCATGTTCGCAGTTAATTATCCGCTTTTCACCCGTCTATGATCCGTTAAAGCGACGTGGATGTTATCCTGAAAGCAGTATCTCAGCAAGATGATGCAAGGACGATCTTGGCCGAAAGGAAGATCGAAACTTTCTATTCATATGCCTCTTGATACGCGTATATACTCGAACTTCGCGAAGGCACGAAATAATCGCGCGGCTGCCGGGAAATATAAACGCGATGTTAACGACCTTACGAATGCGCGTATTGCGAGCAAAAAAAATCGTTATCTATCCGCACGCCTGGTTATCCGAAAATATCGCTATTACGTGTACGCAGACGGGCGCTCACTTCCGCATTCGTTTCGAGTTTCACTCTACCGCGTCGGACTTGCTCGTGCATCGGCTACTCGTTTTACTCTTAATTCGTTATCGGACCTCCGTAATTGTAATTTTTATCTCCGGGGGAGTACACTCCGAGAAAGAATTAGTCGCAGGAGCTAAAATAGATACAGCTAATGTCGTTCACTACCGCAGATAAATTTATCAGCCTGCAGGATGACAAATTTCTACCATGGTAGAAATTGAATCTCACGGCTGCCTAGCCACGAGATAGTAAATTTACGTCTAAAGCCGACTCCACACGATGTGGCAAGTGTATTGATCACGTATGTTGGATGAATATAACATAGGTGATATATAATATATGTAGAATACAATATAAATAAATATAAATGAATATAATACAAGATATATGATCAATATAATTGCTAATGTTCGTCTACATTTGACACATCGTGTGGAGCTAGCTTTAGACATAAATTTACTATCTTATGGCTGGACATGAAGATCAATTTCTACTAAGGTAATAAATTTAGTTGCGGTAGCAAACATTAGCCTATTTTAGTTTCTATAGCTAATTCTTTCTCTGAGTGTATTCCCGTAAGGCTGGAGACAAAAATAACAATTACGGAGACCCGATTGTAACGAACGTGTGCTTAACGTCGCCAATAACGTAACACTCATATCCTAGTGATTATATATTTAAATTAGTTAATGGTTAAACAGAAAAAAATTACAGTTCCGAGATAAAAAATCATAACTAGTTGCCAGGCAACTAATGTAACGCTCTTTTCTACTTTTATAAGATTTTTATAGAATAACATATAAAATAACATAATTTTGATTTAATACCTCATTTTTAAATGTCAGTAGCAAGTATATATAGCCAGATTATATACTTTAAAATAAACAGCGTCGTCCACTCTATCATACTTGATGGACAACGGTTAGATCGCAAAAGCGATTCTACATTTTAGTGATTAATCAGCCAGTAACGAGCTGGAAAATTTAACCTGGTCTGTACTAGCTCTTGACTCAGCCCGACTAGATACACTTCTACTCGAATAACTGTGGTAGCAACTACATTAGCGGCGACAGCTAGATTCTATCTCACACGGCTAACTCTTTCCTTGAATGTAGGGGCTAGTCATTCGATACTTCCACCAGCAGTGCCACCGGCCGAGCTTCGGCTTGAAGTCGAATTGCTACGTGCCCCCGGATGAACCCACAACCGACACCAGGTAGACCAGTCCGTCGACTGGTGGTGGGCAGGTATTCCGGAGCAAGTGGAATCCGCCGTGTGCATTCGAGCAGTCGAGCACCAGCCTCTCACCGCGAAGCGTTTCGTCCCTCTTTCGGTCGTCCGGCTCTCTCGAGTGAGCGCCGATCAGCTCTCGCGCGCGTTTTCCCTCGTCTCGCTTCGCCTGGCGCGCTCGCTCGAAAACGCTACCTGGTCGAATTGCTACCATCGCGAAAAAACCAACTCCCGCCGAAATCGTCGCTTGAACCACATGTCCCCGGCGTTCGCCGCAGGGTGATGTGAGAACCCGAGCGCGCGGCTCGCGAGGACCACGTGGAGACACACGTGTCGATCAATCGGGGACCCCGTCCACGATGGATCGATAGACGGGAGGATGACCTCGTGACATGAAAGGACGACTTTGAAAATGTGAGTGTTGTAACGGATCGCGTGCGAAAACGCCGCATAAGAACGGACGTAACGTAATGCTCACCGAGAAGGGCGCCGGATCGGAATATTGTTCACGATCGGCAAGCGACGAATCTCGCTCCTGCGACAAGTAGTTAAGCGGATAATAGGCTCTTTTTCACCACGCGACGTAAGCGCATCGATTGACGTAAGCTAGTCGAAAGTCGAAAAATCGACAATTTCATTCGGCGAATTAATCATACCTCAGATGTGGCAATCGCACGTTTCGCTGGTCGCTGTTGTGTCCGCGAAATCTCGGTAAACGTACTTTATCATTTCCGTTAGTTACTCGTTCCCAACTGGGCAACTGTGTCACTGCTCTCGCGGCCTTGATAAAATCGTGCCGCGAGATCGCGGGAGTGACTCAACGTAGCGGCTTGAAAACCGATGCATTCCGATCGGGCGTCGCGTCGCAATTTTGAAAATAATACCCACCGATTTGCCAACGTTTCCCTTCCCCGATTGTTTGTTGTTTCCCGCTAGTTCTAGTTAGAACTGGAACGTTCGTTCGCGACACGCGCGTTGGAAAACACGAGCGCGTCGGCCGCATGTCGATTCCGATTCGAACCACGTGTTCGAAGTCGCGGCACGTCCGCGGGTCGAGCCGCTGCTTAAGCAACGCTGCAATCGTCGTCGCCGCCGTCGTCTATTACGTGCCGTCGATATTCAAAAGCGATCACTTTTCGAATCCCTTCCCGAGAAAGTTCCACTAACTTCGATCATTGCGCCATTAACAAACGAAGACTGCCAATGTCTCTATTTTGTCATAAATACCAGCAGATCTAATGTGATCTCGGGATATCCCATCCTTAGCTAATAGAAGGAAAATCGCTGACTTCGTTTGTTCGCATGATCTTTTGCTTAGACTCTGGCTGCGAAAAGAAAGTTATCATTTAGTTCTGTCTTCAGTTTTCCTCTCTTTTCTATATTTCTTTTTATCAATTGTACTTTCTATCAATCTTTTTCTCTCTATTATATACAGTTCAAGGAAGTGATAAATGATCTATATTATTATCGGAGAAAACATATTTACTTTTCCGTTCATACGTAATAATAATAATAAAATTCGATTGAATCTCGAACTTCGCTTCGAACGAGTTTGAACGCTCAATTTCGCGCGCAAGTTGCGATTACGGGGGCGCAATCGCGCGTTCCCGGGAGCTTCGTGGATTTCGGAAAGACTCTCGCGGTCGACGCGAGGAAAGAAAGAACGGTGGCTCTATAGATAGCGTATTATAGGCGAGCGGACTTTCTCCGGAGACAAGCCCACATCTACGTAGGCGTGCATGCGGGCCTTCCACCGTTTACCGAACCGATCTAACAGCAGTCCCCGCGAGCGAAGAGAGACTACACGTCGTCCGTGCAAATTGGACGCTGATCGATTCCACGTTTCGTACAAGGAAGTTCGAGGTCACGCGGAAATCCCGATCGCCGGACCTGCGCGCACTGTCGATTAGCTTAGGCTCTTCCTTTTTTTTTAAACGCGCGTCCGTGAGAGTGCGCCGCGCGTTTATCGCTTCCGCCATTTTTTTACATTCCAAGCGTACGCGCTCGTTAAGCGATACGACAATTATGATAATAATTGCACGAAGTACGGATTTAACTATTCGCGCTGTATCAAGCGTTTAATGTATTTCCGAGTTTCGCTGAGATAAACGCCAATCCCGCGCCAATTTGCTTTTCTCGCCGACTTCGATAATTATTCAGGGAAAATAAAGCGCCATTTGCTCGGGATAAATTCGAGAGAAATGTTCGAATAACGTATAATAAAGAATATATGAATCAAGCTCTCGGGATGTGCGATCCTTATTAATTGAAACAGGCCGATACCCGGCGTTAGTAAGTATAGTGGCATGATTAAAAATTATTAGACTTAAAAAGTCGATGATCCTAAACGCTTCAGTCGAAAGTTTCTACCCTCTTCAGTGACAAAGACTGACTACCGAATTTTCGTATTTGACGCGGTATAACCGAAATGATTTTAGCATTGAATTTGGCAATATTTGATTCGTCATTCCGTAATCAGTCGAAGTGAAACAGACGCGACGTTTGCTACTTTGACATTCGCCGGATGAGAACCCGAGACTTTGACGATAAAGAATACGGAAGAAAGGAGAATGTCTTCGATGGTTATCTAACTTCTTGATTTTCTAAAAATTTTCCCGCGTTATGTCGTACACGCTCGTGATGCGTCTCGCATCGCGGAGTTTAAAAAATAAAAAAGAAATCAAGAGAGATTTCTCGAAAGGGCGGTGAACGGAAAAGTCGAAATCTCTTGAAATTCCGAGGATGCAGCGGCATGAAGAAGGAAGTTCTCGTCCATGCAAAATGCAACCGCGAGATACACGCTTCGGTGCCACTGATGAGCGTGTGTTATGCGAGACACCGATCATTCAGACGAGATTATCATCTCGTTATCTGGCGAAATGATCGAGGCTTTTTCTCCGTCGGTATGTCTGGTGGAAGCGAGCGTTTTGTCAAGCCTACACATTCCACGACCTTGCCATTTCATCGCGGGGGAACCGCAATTTCTCGTGTCATTTCGATTCATTTTACTATTAAACGTAGCGACCGCGAAACTTATGGTAATTGGTCCGTTAGAGTGCCGAGTTTTCAGTGACGATGTTAAGGGGTCCTTGTTAATAGTATTTAACTTAAGGGGTCATTGTAATAAGTTATTTAATTATTTACTGAAGAAACACACTTTCCCATAACTTTCTTTAGCTGTCTAAGTAATAAAACTTAATTTTGAGAGAAATTAAGAGAAATGTATATTGAACAAACACGGGGATATTATTTACTTTTTATTTTTCTTAATACTTTATTTAGATTTCAGTTAAGGTAATATTGGTATTTCCATCAATGTGCAGCTGAAATTTAAAAGGATTCCTAAGAAAATAGTTTGACGGACTAACTACTTTAAGCACGCAACCCCACCGTGTCATGCTTAAACGTTGAATGCCGCTGTTACACTATAAGCTGGGAAGCCCCTTGATGCTCCGTTACGCAAACTTTCATAAACATATTTCGTTTTATAAACTTTATTCTTCGTAGACGCGAGATGAGACTTAAAAATCGATTATCTCTTTCGCACGTGAACGTGGGGGTGGCAGTAAGTGGAGGGGAGCGCGGAAGAAAAATATAAAACGCGACGTAAGAAAACATCACTCGATTGAATAATACGACGCAACAACACTTTGCGTCAATCTCTCCGTCTTTTCCTTCCGCACTCCGCTTCTCAATTAATCCGCAACTATCGTCGAGTTCAACTCGTGAAAGGGCACTCGCGAGGCGCGCACTTACGCAACGCACTTACCGAGAATCCGAGATATGGAACCGTACGCGGAGTGATTAGCCTTCTCGTGGCAGCGTTTCCGCCAAGAAAACGCGGTTTCCCCGTTAATCGTGCAGAAGCACGGTCTGCGTGCCTGCGGCGTAAACGGTTGCTCGAAAACCGTGAAAACGGCACGCCGATGGCATATTAACGACACACGCAGCACTCGGAAAACGCGCGCGTTACGAAGTGTCGTGTATAAATTACGCTTCACGCGTGCACCGGCATATAGTAGGAAAATGCAGCCGGGGAAACATCGGCTCGGATTGGGACACGTTCCTTTACGTCTTCGGCACGACGATATTTCTCGAGAAAACAAAAGATCAACCACGCAAAAATCTCGAAAGAACGTCGCAAAACGGGTTTTATTTATTTATTTATTTTAAACGGGAAACGCACGTTGATTTACGAAAAAATAAAACAGAACGGAAGAACAATGTATAAAAATATTAACCAAGATTTCAAGATTAGATTTCAAGTAGTGTCTGGAAAGGCGAGAAACCCGATGCCGAATCCTTTTAATTAAGATGCAATTATTCCGACGCGGAGATCAAGTTACGAAATTATAATCTAAAACCGAACAAGAGTGACGTATAGTGTTCTAAATGTAAATGTTTTCAAGTTTTTTAAATATATAGATATCTAGAGGTTCTATAAACATAAGCGAGACTGCGGAGAGCAGTGTCAACGATTCACCTCGAAACAAAAAGATGTAGAGAGACCGTAGGACTTTCGATTGAGACGAAACGAGCGATAGACAAAGTGTGCGTGACAGACGACGCTCGCGGCTAAAACGCCTTCCAGATGCGCGCTGTCTCCTTTGACATTACGACGATCTTTTCCGCGCGCGCCAGCACGCCTTCTTCCGTGTTCCCTCGTCAACATCGGTCCCTTGCCTAATCGTGACACCTTAACGACCGGTTATCCGCTTCTCACGACCGACCACGATGCGCCTTCCCGTGTTATTTCGCCGTTTCTTCCTCACGTCCGCTCTCGACGCGCCGATCTCGCCGATCAATGAGAAGAGAGGAGAGATGAACGGTACGTACGCGCGCGTCGCACGCGCGTCCGACGAGCCGCAAAATCGTGATCGCCCGATCGAGACAACGTCGGTCGCGAGAGAGAAAGAAAGAGAGAGAGAGAGAGAGAGAAATATTGAGCGAAAAAAATCACGGGCTCGCGCGAGTCATTACGTAGAAACTCGACGGCCGGCGCTGCAACTTTCGCGATCGCCGCCGCATCGACCGGCGCATCTGCATTCCCGGCTAGACGCATCTCTCGCGAGAGCCGCTTCCGCGTCCGACCGCGTCGTCTCGTTAGAGCGGAATTGCCGCCAGCTTTTGCAATTAGAGGCGCATCGTCTGTCAAGCCGCTGCCCGATATCGTTCATCGTTCGTCGATAGCCGCGCGAGCGCCTCGCGGAATCCGCGATTATTCTATCGACGGCGGACGGATCGTTGTCGAATCGCTAATGCGAAACGATCTCGATATGCTAATTACGGGCTAATTGAGCAATTGGACGATCCGCGCAGTTCTTCCTGGTATCTTTAATAATAAACGCGCCATCGCACGCCGGGACGTTACGTGCGTTAATAAAGAGGCGGCTCTGTCGCGCCTCATCTCGCTA